TTGAGGATGTGAGAAATTGTGAATGTGAGAATTTAGAAAAGTGAGAAATTGGGGACATGAGAATTTGTAAATCTTGAAACTTAGGGAAATGAGAAATTACAAATTCAGAAATTTGGAAATTTAAGAATTTGCGAATTTAAGAATTTTGAAGTTTAGGAATTTAGGAATTGGTGAGTCTCTAGACTTTGTATATTCAGCAACATACACAACTGAAGAATGAAGAAACGCCAACACGACTAATAGAGCACGAAAGGTACGAAGCAAACTTGCAAGGCGTTAAAATATAAATGCAATATGTGCGAAAACAATAAACACGTCTGAAGCAAGGCAAATTCGGGTGGCTGTAGCTTACACGAAATTGCGATTCATGCAGGAAGTCGGAAAACCAGTCTGTCTATCCTGTATGTACAGAAGTAGGTCTACAAAACATACACATAGAGCAAGAATGGGGCGGGGGTGTTGCATGGAGGTTTGTAGAATTTAGGAGAGGTAAGAAGCGGCTGCGAAGTTTCGCTGTTGTAACACCGATTCACCAACACGTTCCGTGAAGTAACTGCATTACTAGTTTGTATGACAATCGTAGTCAGTGGAATATAAACTCAACTCTGGCGCGACAGCTAATTCTGAGCGACCCACATCTTGTACTTTCCGAATTTGTCAAGTAGCTTACGAAACAACAACTTTGTACCCTTCGATGTTATTACTCTTGGATCGTTATAACTATTTCATGCCTCGAATGTTTGCAATGAATTAGGGATATGTTGCAAAATTACTGGGTATGAAATTAACCCCTTGGTTAAGTTACCCCTTTGGGGTGACTCGCTCGGTTTAAGTCATAATTCGGTTTGACAATTTGCAATAGGTAGTAACTAGTTCTGTAGTGTTTTGGATGTGATACATGAACACAGTGGGACCATAGTGAAGGTTGATAGCAGAGACATGTAACTATACATCAAACTTTTGCATTAAGAAGTTTTAGAATTGTCAACAACATCTTCGAGTAGAGCTACTGTTTAATCTCGTGGACAACACTCATGTCAAATCTGTAGACTGCAATCAAGGTTCAAATCCAGTTCAAATAATTCGAATTCAGAATTTAATTTCTAAAGTCAAAGATCTAAAGCTGAAGTTAAAGACAATTCGTGAACAATAATTAAAAAGGTCAAGCTCCTAATTTCATCTATTCCCTCATTAATTTCTACTTGTATCGATTAGATCCTCTAACATAAAATTCAAAGTTTGAAATGACCCTTCTGACCAGACTTTGACCCTCTGTCTTTTACCCAACCCCCAATTATTCATTGAGTTCAGTCTCCAAGTACAAGGATTTCAAATATAAATTGCATCAAACCATAAAGTTGTGCTAAACGAGTGCCATTTTTATCGAAGCAGTTTTATTAGCAAGAATATATCGATATCGAAGTTTATCGTTGCAATGGAGGATGTCTGAAAGCTGGTGGACAGTTATAAACACAAGCGAAGTTTTGCCGGTTATAATGCCACTTGGTGGAGGGCATAGCTTGCGCAGTGGGTCTCCTCAGCATCTCCGGACGCTGGTTAATCCCACGTCCGCTGCATTCTGCAGTTTTGAAACTTTCCAACGTAACTGCAGTGTCGTGGCTTAAGCGTGGCCTGCATCGTGACCCACACAGCGTCACTACGGATTCAATAATTTATTGTGCCTGCTTCTACTCGTAGTTTGTCGATTTCTCTTTTCGGAGGTAATCGGTTGCGATGTGATTGTGTTTATCAGACAGCAATAACGTTATGAGGTACACTGTTCTGTTAGGATCTTTAAACTATTCTTCCAATTTTTGGGATGGGAAGTTAGGTATTTGGAAATTTGGAGGTTTGTTGTTGGTCATTTATTTGTTTGACATGGATACAATGATGATTTGTTAAGCTTGTTCTACTTGTCTGCCAATATAGTACACTTGTTCTACTTGTCTGACTACGTGTTCGTCACATTGCACTTGTCTGACAACGTACTGCACTTATTCTACTTGTCTGACAACGTGTTGGTCGTACTCCACTTGTCTGACAACGCACTGCACTTGTTCTACTTGTCTGACCACGAGTTCGTCGTGCTCTACTTGTCTGACCACGTGCTGCATTTATTCTACTTGTCTGACCACGTGTTCGTATTCTACTTCTCCGACTGCATACTGGTGGTATTCTACTGGTTCGACTGCATACTGCTCATATTCTACTTGTCTGATCACCTAATAGTCGTACTCCACTTGTCTGACTACCTATTGGTCATATTCTACTTGTCTGACCACATATTACTCGTACTACGCTGGTCTGACTACATACTGTTCATATTCCACTTGTCTGCCTACACACTAGTCGTATTCTACTTGTCTGACCACCAACTGATCGCATACTATTATGCATATTTCGAAATTTAGAAACTTGTACTTGCTCACCTATCACATGGTTGAGCTGATCATATAATAGACTTATTCTACTTGATGACCTCTAGTAGTTGTACACTGCTTGTCTGACTACATGCTGGTCATACCCTACTTGTCTTATTACATACAGGTTGCACTACTTGTCTTACTACATACGGGTTGTACTACTTGTCTGGCTGCGTACTGATCGTACTACTTGTCTGACCGTATACTGGTCGTATTCTACTTGTCTGACAGCCTACTGAGTCTGCTCCTCTGACCATATATTTCGGTACATCCTCAAATCAGTATGTCTCCAAATCACTACATCCCTAAATCGCAAAATATTAGTAAACCTGCCCACTTTTCTGTTATCATTGCATTTATCTATAATATAAATGTTGTTAACTGATGAATGTCTTCCCATAATTTTTTTATTATCAAAGTGAACACATTTTTCTTTTTTAATTCACACCAGTAAGCAAGAGAACTCAATATCTGTCCGTAATTCGTCAAGTTCGCTCTTTAAACCAGAACCGAGGATTATCCGGTTGAAAATGAAACGTTAATGAACGAGAAACTGGCGACTATTTTGAGGCACGAATTTTCGTAATGGTAGGATTTTGACGAACCATCGAGACGGTGTATATAGATATATATTTTGAACGTGTCTCCTGCATTTGCTTCCATTTAGCGAGTGTTTCGATATTTAACGAGGCAATTAAAAGTTGATGGACGGCGAATAAATAGGCTATCGATGAATCGATTTTATCGACTCGGTAATTTGTTTCAAGCTGTGGGTGCTATGTAGGGTTATTGGGAGTGGGTGGTTGTAGAGAATTTTAGAGAATTGAGGAGGTTCGGATTTGGTAATGATGGGTATAGAGAGATGGAAATTATGTTGAAGGACTTATTTAATTAGTTTGTTTTGTAAATTGTGCTTGTGAAGGAATTCAGGAATTTAGAGCTTGAGGATTTGGAAATTTAAAGAGTTAGGAGTTTTGTATTTTGTGGTTCTAGATAAGTAGGAATATAGAATCGTTAGAGTTTGTGGACTTGGAGATTTAGGAATTTAGAGTTTTGCATTTGGTAAGTTTCAGCAATATAAGGATTCGGGGATTTGAGAAATTGAAAATTTAGATATTTAAGGATTTAGAAATTTCATAATTTTCGAAATTCACAAACTTTGAAATTTGAAAACCTAGAAATAAAAATTTCAGGAATGAAACAATTACAGAAATGCAAAAGTTTCGAAATGACAACTCAGCAAAGTTGCAACCCATATCACCAATTAATAAGGCATCCAAAACACACCTCATAATAATTAAAAAAAACATCAAGTTGCCTTTTCACTAGAAACAATAACGTAACCTCGAAATGTAGCAGTCGGCGTGTACATAACAGCACGGTTACGATCACGTGAAAATTCTCCTGCGAAATCCGATGGAACACAAGTCGTGGCTGGCACGTGACATCGTTTCCCAGTGTACACACAAGGGACCCAATCGAGGTCCACCGGTGAACCACCATCGAACTTTTTTCCTTATTCTTTTACCGTCGTAAAAGTTTACCGTTGTATCTCGATGGTCATGGCAAGCGAACGAAGTGAAAATATCACTGCAGGTCAAACACAACCATAACCAGCTATAAATAACACCTTGCTATTTTACTCTAACCTTGTTACAATAACTTTATTAATATTAACTATGAATATTAACTATTAATATCAACTTCTTTGTTTATATGCTTCTACTCGTAGAAGCATATTTTGCATACTCTATTCAGATCACGAAATGGAAAATTTATATTCAGTGCACAATGTTGGATTAAGCTAAGTTTCATATGGAACCACCTGTTTGGGCGGTCTTAGGATCTGCTGTAGAACGAGTCTACAAGTCGACGTGATCAGATAAGCCACACAAAGGAGATGGATGATCAAATAAGTCCATGGGGAGTAATAGATAGTTGGATAAGTAGAACAAGTTATACGAACCGCATACAGAAGATGAACGATCAAACAGTAGAATGGGAGTAGGTGGTCAGACAAGTAGAAATGGCCAATGTATGGTCAGACGAGTAGAACCAGTAGACTGTCAGAGAAGTAGAATAGGATCAGTATGCAGCCAGACAAGTAGTACGATCAGTACGCAGTCAGACAAGTAGTACGACCAATATATAGTCAGACAAGTAGATTATGACCAATATGTGGTCAGAAAAGTAGTAGGACCAATATGTAGTCAGACAAGTAGTATGACCCGCATGTATCAAACAAGTAGTACGACCAGTATGTAGTTAGAGAAGTAGTATGATCAGTATACAGTACAAAAAGAGGACATTTTGAGCTGCGAATTTGTCCCCAAGTGGAGAACTCAGCAATTTAATAATATATCAATTTGAAAACCTAAAAATTTGTTAACATAGCGACTTGAGAAATCTATTCAATCTTCCCAATTATACCCCACCTCTTCCAAACATCTCCGCCTCACACGCCAACTCATTCATTGAAATTGGTAATTACCATAATCCCAAGAACAGGAATTTCCCTAAATTGATTGCGCCGCCGAATTCTCGTTCTCTAATGCTATTTCGAAATTTCCTTTTCAGGACAATGCAGCGCAGCATTGGGCATGGAGAATGGCGAAATACCCGATGAAGACATATCGGCCAGTTCCATGTACGATCCCAGCCTTGGCCCGAAACATGCCAGGTGAGTGAACAATCATATCGGCGAAATGCTCGATTACAGTTGAACAAGTTCACTGTTCTGATCCACCATGGGGGTTTCTTGTTTCGTCAAGTACTGTTTCTAAACAGCGAAGCAGGTTTACGGGGGTAGTTAATTTGGTATATGCGGATATATTCTCTCGGTGCTTCATTCAGGGAGATTCATTTTAATTCATTGTTACGTTGCAGTAATATTCCATTTTTAATATTGCGAAATTTTTTATTAGACTTGCTTTGCAACGTCTGTAATTTAATAACTTTATGTAATTTAATAACTCCAGCGTAAATTATTAATTGCACGACCTCGATGCAGATGCTCGGTAAAAATAATTTACCTTAATTTAGAATTGAAGTGATTTAATTACAGTAGCAAATATATATTCACATTTTTCAATGGAGATATTTGAGACCACTTCATTGTTCAGTAACTAAATTTTACTTCAATAAAATAGTTGTGATTATAAATTGATAATTAAGAAAAATGTAGAACGCGGTATCAGAGATTAATATTTCTTGAGAAACAATTTTGAATCAATTTTTCAGTTAATCAATATCACTTAAGATAGATATCACTTAAGTACCCTGTTATTCAGAAATAAGATTACAAGTTTCCGAAAGTAAATTGCAGTAAATTTGTTGGTAAAGTTAAGCTCAGTTATAGTGAAACACCTTGAACAGAAGATTCGGTTGATTGCACTCGATTGTACAGTTTTACTGCAGATTGATACGAACGCGAAGGACCTTGTTTAAAACTTCAGCTGCTCGTCGAAGCTGAAAGTAGAGTGGATAACAATGAGAGTTCGTTAGCGATGTAATAAACCTTTCTCTAGTTGATGTTCTTATAAAATGAAGTTCGAGAAAGTGTTCCGAGTACTTTGACACTTTCAATATTAACCTACTGAAACGACACTGGTGAATATCGGGTTTCAGAATGTCACTACGGTATGCTGCGCTCCTGTCAATATCAGTGATCTTTCATTTTATTTACGTGAGTATGAAGTTTGCAGTTTGGGGAATTGGGAGTTTGGGGATTTGGCAAATTAGGAGGTTGGAGAATTAGAAATTTGGAATTTTTGAAATTTAGGAATTTGGGAATTTGGAAATATGGGAATTTAGGAATAGGAGAATGTGGGAGTTGGGGGATGTGGGAGTTGGGGAACGTGGGAATTGGGGAATGCTGGAATTGGGGAATGTGGGAGTTGGGGGACGTGGGAGTTCGGGAATGTGGGAATTGGGGAATGTGAGAATTGGGGAATGTGGGAGTTGGGGAATGTGGGAATTGGGGAATGTTGGAATTGGGGAATGTGGGAATTGGGGAATATGGGAGTTGGGGAATGTGAGAGTTGGGGAATGTGGGAATTGGGGAATGTGGTAATTGGGGAATGTGGGAATTAGGGAATGTGGGAATTGTGGAATTGTGGAATTGGGGAATGTGGGAATTGGGGAATGTGGAATTGAGGATTGTGGAATTGGGGAATGTGGGAGTTGGGGAATGTGGAATTGAAGATTGTGAAATTGGGGATTGTGGGAATTGACAAATGTAGGAATTGGGGGACGTAGGAAACCTTCACATTCGCAACCTTTCAAATCCGCAACTATAAAAAATTAAAAACTGCCTATTTATAAATTCAAAAAATCATAAATAGCAATCTCTCCAACCCTGCATCTAGAAATATGTAAAACTCATGAGTACTTATATATTTATAAATTCATGCATCCTATTCAAAGCTTATCGTAAACGAATAATTAAGGTGAAAAAAACCTGCACAAAACTAACAGAAATCGCGTTGCATTAATCTACATCATTTATTCCAAGTTCTAACGCACGTTAAAAATTATCAAAGCTCAGAATTCAGCACAGGAAATGATAAGTTATCTGCGACTTACAAAAATGCCACAACTCAATCGTCGTCACCTTGTTCTCCGTGTTTGTACAATTAACAAATTAAAGTGACTCGCGATTAAATACACAAGTCGGTTAAACAACGTTTAAGCTGCAAAATAAAGCTGTCGACTTCAACTCGATAAGAGTAAGTCGAGCCCTTTAATCGCATCGAATTTCTTTCTATTTCGCGATCTGGGTCGCGTGACACGAACGAACGTTTCAACGGCATAGCTGGTTGATATTTACCGAGTTCACTAAGGCGGGTTTATTTCTTATTACAAGGGCTAGATTAAAATCGCCAGGTTGCCCTAAGGGCAGTTCGAGTCTCGTGTCGCATTAAAATTTTAAATAGCACATGGCCTGGAAAGCAAGCTTGTAAAATTCTGTTATCGAGAGCTGGAACGAATATCAGATAACCTGCTGGCGGATGTGAACGAACAAAAAACTCGACTTGTAACCTGGTAATATCGAATTAATCGCGTGTACGATAATGTGGAACGAGTGAAAAGGGGGCAGAAAGGGGTGGTTTGCTAGGCGACGTTCGTTTTTATTGGTTTACAACCTGCTATATATATAATAGTCGTGGGCTGGGTTATACTCTATGTTGAAGAACACTGTGGCAGGTAGAGAAATATATTTTAGGTTTCTGGATCTTCAAGTTTTAAAATTTTTAACTTTAATTCTAGTTTTCAAAGTTTATGTAACTTTATTTTTATTTTATTCTACTTGTCTGAGCATCCTTTGGTCATAATCTACTTGTCTGACCATAATTTGACCACAATCTACTGGTCTGACCACTGTCCGTCCACTATCTACTTGTCTGACCAGTTTCCTGTCCATGTGTCTTCATTTCTGATCGTCATACTGATCATATTGTACTCGTCTAACCACCATACCGACCATACTCTACTTGTCTAATCACTGTGCTGATCCTATTCTACTTGTCTGACTACAACACACCCTATTCTCCTTGTCTGACCACGACACTGACTCATTCTACTTGTCTGACTAGTGGCTTGTCTGTATCTACTTGTCTAGCCACCACATTGTCCCTATTAACTTGTCTGGCCACGACACTGACCCTATCTACTTGTCTGACCACCATACTGAGCCTATCTACTCGTCTGGCTACCAGACTGACCATATTCTACTTGTCTGTCCATTTTTGTACGTTTCCCTGTTCTTCAACATGTATCTCCAAACAGTCTGAACCGAAGTGGCTAAAATTTAGAATCAAGAATTCTAAATACGCAAAGTTAATTCGGTTGCGATATTTCGCCCCAAAAATTGGTTGTCGAGGGTGAAAGTGCATGAAAGCAGTAGCTTTTCTCTTCTGCCACTAGATGGAAACACGACGGAAGAAAAATCGAGAATCCAGATTAACCTTGATACACTCGGAGTGGAGCGTGTCCGTCGTTTGTCAAAAAGAGGAATCGTCTTCCTGACGTTTTTACTAGCGATATTACGATCTTGATTCGTGGCGGACGCCGGACGCTTGACAGCCAAATCGATTCGGCACATTTACGAAGCCGGGCAATTTATGAGGGTCGCTCGTAACGCGCCACGGAAATGACTGTTCGATGTCTGTTAATAATGCGTCTGTGATATCCCCGTTTCGTGATATCGAGAGTAGTGCAGAGAGAGGTACGCGAGTATCGTTTCCAGTCCTCCTTTTTTTTCTCCTATTTTTTCTTTATTTCCCGATAGCGAGCCATCGAACGGGAAGTTGAAACGCGGTCCGGGTAAATGCAGCTTCGCATGAAATCGGGTTATAAATTTTGAACGGCGAGTTAACTTACGGCGAAGTACTGTAATTGATATATAAGAGAAAAAAAGGTGAATGTGATTGAAGCTGCTTCCGCCGATACGTACGACTGTGTGCGCACCTGGAGAGTTGCTTTCGCTTATTCACTATCATCCGTCATTGTCAACCGATACATATTTTCATCCATCTTCTTTTTACTTCCGTGATAAGGAAGTACGAGGAAGCGTACTCGAAGTTGGTTTAACTGTGGTCTCGTGTCATTCGCGAATTTTATTATTGTATGTGTATTTGATGCAATTTGAGGCACTGCAAATTTTGCAGTTTTGATATTGATGTGTTTAGAAGATTGGGAATTTGTGATTGGACTGATCACATAGTAGTTTTAATCTACTTGCCTGGTTTCATACTAATCGTACTGCACTTGTCTGACTACTCGTTGGTCGTATTCTACTTGTCTGACTATATGCTGGTCCTATTCTACTTGTCTGACTGCACACTGGTCCTATTCCACTTATCTGACTCTATTATGCATTGGTCCTATTCTACTTGTCTGACTGAACACTAGTCCTATTCTACTTGTCTGACTGCACACTAGTCCTATTTTACTTGTCTGACTACACACTAGTCTTATTCTACTTGTCTGACTGTATTATACTCTTGCCCTATTCTACTTGTCTGACTGCACACTAGTCGTATACTACTTGTCTGACCACCAACTACTTCCATTCTATCCATCATTTGATCAATCTACCTTCTTCGTGTGGTTTGTCTAACCACATATTATTCTCGTTCTGTTTGTCTGACTACATACGACCATTTTCTACTTGTCTGACCACATACTTCTTTTTCTACCTGACAGTCCACATGATCTCCCACTCGTACAATTGCATACTGGTCATTTTCTACTTCCCCGACCACAGACACCCCAGACAGGAAATTAAACTTTGACACTCATCACTTATGAATATCAAAGCTAAATATCTCGACTAAATTGTCATCATGAATGAAGTATTAACTCAAATTTTAGATGACATCAATATTATATTGTCTAGCTCCGTTGCTAACCTTTAAACAATTTATTTATGTCTCAAAAATATTCGTATCGGATATACCAAATTAAGGAGAACGACGAAGAATATTTATAGTAGTAAAAATAATATAAACATATTAAATATGTAACTGTCTTTTCCTACTAATCTTTTCGTCTCCAGTACAGCCAAAAATATAGAACACCCAATTTAAACTGCGAACACCCAGAATAAATAGCTGCTAACGATTCCATCAAACCTCCGACATCGTCGTTTAATTATAGCGAAACCTTTGATAATTACCC